TTAGCATCTAGCATCAACAGAAAAAAAGAAAATGGCTACCACTCCATTGGTTTTGTGAAAGAAATTACAAATTTGTCAACACCGTCAGATGTCACCACCATAAGATTTTGTGTTCCAATGATATATCAAAATACTTCAATGTGACTCTTGAATAAAAGCTTTATAAACAATAACATACTCACTGTTTGTTGTGTTTGTTTTAATACAGTAATTGACTGATTCAATGTATCTGATAGTTAAAATTACTACAAATTCAGGTTTTCGTCAACTCCGTCAGTTGAATATTTTGATAATATTTCATTATGATATTTTATATTTGTTGTGAAATTGTTGGTCACATGTGAAAGTGTAATCTGTCTGCTAACACGAGAATGTGTTTTGAAATGTTAAAAGCATCTTGAATGCTGTTAAAGATAAAGCTGAAATTATATTACACAGTCCAAGCTAAAAAAAAGCACATTTTGTTAAAAAGAGAAAAGTTGGGAGGTTGTATCAAAGCATAGCTCAGTAGCTTACTACATATAAGATACATAAATGGAGTTTCATTTGTCTGAGTACAAGGATTTATTTTTTCAATTTTGCATGCTGTTTTGTCCCACTTCTCAAGAATGACTTTATTTATGACTAAATTAATTATTAATAATAACTACAAATTACACTGCATAAATATACAAAACTAGATCGAAAATCAGTGATAGGCTACTTAGTGGTGTTTTGGTTTGAGCAAATCTTTTAAGTGAAGGAATCGTTCTCATGACATGCATGCCTCATTTTGCGTTCACTGAGCTGATCCTTTTCTGCCTTCAACGACTAGCTATACCCTTACGAAAAATAAGTTTATTTAAGTGTGCTATTAGTATACTTCTTTTAAACTAAAAAATAGGAAAGTATACTTGTAGTCTACTTTTTATGTACTTCTCAGAAATGGGCTTTATGTACTTCTCAGAAATATACTTAAAATGACATTTAATTATACTTGACTTATAGCCTACTTAGAAAAAGTCTAAATATATTTGAGCTATGCTTGTGTTCCTAGAATCTGTGTTTTCATTGTTATACTGTAGGGGGCTCTATTACACATTTTCTGTACAGAATTTCCAAAAAAACACAAGTGAAGAAGAAACCGAAACAACAGATGCTTCCACATGTAGTCTAACACGATCATCAGACATAAAACAGCATCAAAACTGTGTAAAGTTGATGTAATGTCGACCAATGAAGAGATAATAATGACTGTCAAGCTTTGGGGTGTTGATCGACTCTATCTACGTTTTGATTATCGTTCTGAATCCAATTCATAGTCTTTTTTTTTTCGCTTTTTGTTCAAAATGTTTTTTTTTTAATTATTATTTATGAAACTTACCCACATTCAAGTGTTTTAAAAAAGAATGCATGAAGCTAGAATAAAATGTTTTTGTTTACAAGCAGATACCCTGTTCTTTCTTTTGGTGTTTTGTATGTTCAGATATTCATATATTTATATAACAAAATATATACAAATTAATACCTAAATAGGGACATAGTAGTATACTTAAAGTATGATGTAAAGTTCACTTAAAGAAAACTTACGAGTATACTTGCAGTATAAAACTACTAAACTAGTAGTTTACTAAGACTATACTTCAAAGTGTACTAAAAATGCTACTACAAGTATTTAATTAGAAAACTATCAGTATTCATATAAGTTCACTTTTAGTATAGTTGCAGTACAAGCTAAAAATATTGTTGTAAACTAGTTGTGTACTTAAAGTTTACTACTGTTATACTTAAAGTATACTTTTATATACTAGAAAGTGGGCCAATTTAGTCCCAAGGAGTATTGAAATAGTACACTTACAAGTATACTACTAGTACACTGATATTTGTATACTTGCTACATAAAGTATACTTAAAAATATACTTGAACTTTACTTAAGTATACTTAATAAAATAAACTTGAAGTATACTACTTTTTGGTAAGGGTAACACGACAACATTCAGATGTGTTGTAAAAATATATTTTATAAAACATAATTTTACCTGAATGAACAGTTCAGTGGAAGAACGAACTGGAACATTTTATTGAAACGAAATGTAAGGAATCAGCCAACACAGTATTTCGTTCCTTCAGTGCGCCATGTGAATCAAATTATTGTTCACAACCAAGAGAGAAGAATGATTAAAAGTCAAAGTAAAAAACTCCAAAACAGTCAAAACAGAGTGGATAAAATATGATTTCTGCTGTAGTCATGTGTAACAAAAATGTTTATGACTTTTAAACACAATGCGAAATATAGTAAATTTGTAGACTTGTTTCAGTCGTGTACAATTTAGTATTGTTCAACGAATCGATTGAGTGAACGATTCAACTTGTGGCATAACGATGTAGCGTTTCAGAATTGTATACTAATATTTCTTCTCGAAGTATGCAAAAGGAGTCACTTGTAAACAATTTAGCATCTGAGTGAGGTTAACTAAGGGAGGTGAAGCGTTCTGTGGGTGATAAAATAATGAGTGGAAGCATTTCTATCTCTGGTCAAGGTTCACTCATGCAGTTTAGGTGGGAGTGAATCTGTTAGTTCTGCATGTTTGTTCAGTCTTACAAAGCTACTTTAAGAAGTAAAAATGTGTAGTTCTTAAACTGTACTTTGAAATATTGGCTTAGTCATCTTCATTTATAAATATTTAGATACTGTTCTTGACTCATGGCCATCTAACATAATAAAAACAGCAAAAGTACATTAAATGAACACTACAGGGAAAATTTTCAAGTTCATTTTCTAAACAATAATATATGAAATAAGTTATGAGTGCACCTCTGAGTTTTTCTTCTTAAAGATGATCTTGGCCAGTATATGAGAGGAAACGGCATAATCAACATGTAACACGTGTGAGAGACGTGTAAAGATAAAATGTCATCTTTATAGTTCAGAAACAAAAAAAGCAAGAAGTCGAAAATGATAAAATCAGGTGACATCAGATACAACAGGCCTTGAACTATCATGTTATAATGCCAAATATCACATTCAAATCACATAACGGACCTTGACTAAATGTTTCTTGCAGAGCTCTGATGTACAGTAGATGACAATAAATCAGTTTAATGAAAAAGATAAGAACAAATCTTAATGCAAGAATAAAGAAAAAAACGAACTGCTTTAAGATTTGTATAGGTATAGGTGACGATAATGTACACTTGTTATTTATCGTAGAATTATATTTTTATAATAATATTAATCTATTATTTATGTGTGTGTATAACCTTTAATATAATATAATATAATATAATATAATATACTGTAATACAATACACAAACCCTAGACTGACAGTTGACCTAGTTGGACTCCAGGTTCAGTATAAGTTAAACTCATTCAACAGCATTTGTGGCATAATGTTGGTTATCACAAAATTAATTTACACTTCCTCCTTTTTGTTTAAAAAGGCATAAATCTGGGTTGTAGTGAGGCACTTAAAAGGAAGTGAATGCACAAAGAATATGCATGTTAAAATGATTAAAATATGCATGAAAAAAACAAACAAACAAATCACTATTCTGTGTAGTATATAAAATATCAAATTGTACAACTTTGTCACCATGACAATGCAATGTAAAAAAATAAAATAAAATAAAATGACTGTAAAGATTATGATTTAAACAACTTTTTAGTTCAAATACACAAGTTTTAACAGAATAATTAATATAAGTGCTGTTATAAAATTATACACTTCATATTTTTGCTTTTAAATCTTCCAAAGATTGGCCCCAATCACTTCCATTGTAAATGCCTCACTGTTACAGTACCTTTCAAGATGTTCAAATATAAGGTATGCGTCAACATTATTTTGGTAGTAATAACGATTACGTCACAAATTATGAACCTGACTCAGTTCTGGCTTACTGACAGATCGTCAGACACTTTGTATTCAAGAGCTGGCCATATCTAGACATTCTGTACTAAGAAGGCTAGATCATATCGTTCTTTCTTGAGTGTTCATTCACACCTGCACTGATCAACAGACCCCCCTCACTCCCTTTCAATTCAATTCAAATAGCTTTATTGGCATGGCAAAATACATTTTGTGTTGCCAAAGCACTCCCTTTCTATCACAAACACACTCATATACTATCAAACAGACACACATGCTTTCCAACAAGATTGGGAGGGACAGTCGCCCTTGGCAAGGATGCATGCTGTGGGCCTCTGATGTAATTCCCTCATGCTTCCTGTTGGTGCTTAACCCTGATACACCTCCCACATCCCAACGCTGCTCATAAATACAAAAGAGAGTGATGCTGGCCCCATTAAGAGAGCCGACTTCATAGACATGGACAATATGTGCATTTAAGAGGATGTCTGCCATAGATGAACCCTGCATTTCACTCTAACAAGCTCAAAACCTAACAGGTAAGACTTCATAATCAATAAGTATTTTAATATAAACTATGACAGACAAGAAATTTATTTATTCAAATACACTTGAATAAATGCAGGATTTCATTTAACATCAATGCCGTCTGATATTATAGTGAAACTGGATAAGTGGTTTCAGGAGAAGGTTTTCCATTGTGTTCGTACTTATGGTTCTCAAATGTGAGGGAAAGAGTGGTAGACACAAACCTCCTTATTCAGAGAGGGAGATTGGATCCCCTCCCAACTTTTGGAAGGGTTTCTGATGTCAATGGGTTCAGTGATCTTAGTGCAGACCTGGAAGAGCTGGTCTATTGAACAGGGAGGTACTGCCAGAGAAAGTGAGAAGGGCTCTTTTGGTCTGTTCGGTCAGATTGTTCTGACACAGGGGAGGCGAGACCTTCTAAGTGTTCGCTTATCTGGATTAGTCATCCTAGGAAAAGAGAGAAAGAAAATGAATCGGTGACAGCAGGTAGAAAATCTACAACAGTTTGTATAATCAGACTGATTTATGTATATCCCGATTTTGTACTTACATTTTCATTGGCAACAGCAAATCTGCTTTTCTTTTTTCTAACAGATAAGATACAACACACAAGCAGATTTTACAGGCAATATGATGGACGAGTTTTTTCATGAAAACGATTACCACGTGTCACGACGTATCTACTCAAACCGGGTTTTTGATCAGTTTCATGAGAGACAAGCCCAAGAGATCCAGAGTTTACGAGAACGGCTGAGCAGAACCTGCGGGTGAGTATATGGCATATCATCTAGTGTTTTCATCTTCATATTCATTCATATAAAATGATTTTTTTTTTTACAGATGCACTGATAAATGGGCTGTTCAGAAGATAAAGGGGCTTCTGCCAATCCTGGATTGGCTCCCTAAATACCCAGTCAAGCAATGGTTACCCGGTGATGTCGTTTCTGGGGTCACCACAGGACTAGTATGCTGTTTACAAGGTAAGATGCAATCTGTGAACAAAACCCCATAGATTAATATCAGCATAATGCCACTTTGAGGTCATTGTTTGAATTTGTTGTACAGGTGTGGCGTATGCATTGCTGGCCTCTGTTGCACCAGTCTATGGACTCTACTCTGCGTTTTTTCCAATTCTCACATACTTTGTGTTGGGCACATCCAGACACATCTCTGTGGGTAGGTCTATGGCTTTATTAAAAAATGAATTTCTAGTGGTATCAAATAAGCAACGCTTTAAAAAAGATCTGTGATTCTACTGTACTGCCTACTGCATGCATACTACTTACTATTTTATGTGAAACGGTAATATATAGTATGTAACGGTAAATGCATGTTTTATTCTGTAAAAATGGCATGCAGTTATTATCTTGTATATAGTTATTTTGTCATTTAATCCTATTTTATGTAGAAAATGTCTTGATTGTTAGAAATTCAATTAATGATTCAAGAAAAAGAAAATGATATTACTTTGGGTTTATTCATATGCATACAATATTCTATGCAGTGTGCAGTGTTGTATACAAATATAGTAATCCGTGCAATTATATTATGCATATAGAAAATGTCTAAATATTGAATAAAAATGCAACGCTTTCTTGTCGTTCTCTTATTTGTCTCTATTTCTCATTTAGGTCCATTCCCTGTCACCTGTCTGATGGTGGGCTCTGTAGTTTTGACCTTAGCTCCCGACGAGCAATTTCTGCGTTCAGTGAACATCACAGGTGTGAACAAGACAGTGACAGATGAAAGGTTAATGGAGATTGATGTAGAGGCAAGAGAGGCCCAGAGAATCCTAGTGGCTTGTACCATGACGGTGTTGGTTGGATTATTCCAGGTAAAATTGCAACATTCACAATTAAAACCTGGGATAAAGATAAAATAAACAAGTTGCACATTTTGTAATTGCAGTATTTCATTTGCTTACATGTTGAACAAATGCAGATTTATCTTTTGTCAATCAGCAGTGCAGTGCTCCTACTCTTTTGTTTTACTTAATCTCAGGTGGCTATGGGGCTGATGAAGGTGGGCTTTCTAGTCAGGTATCTCTCAGACCCACTGGTAGGCGGCTTCACCACTGCTGCTGCCTTTCATGTCTTCATATCTCAGATTAAAACCATCCTGTCTGTTCCTATATACAACCATAATGGATTCTTCTCCTTTGCTTATGTGAGTCTCTTAAATCATTAATATCTTTACAATCACACCTATATCAGCCTAAAGAACTTGCTGTATATTGTAATGTGTGTGTGTGTGTTTAAATAATTGCATATTGGTCTCAAAATTTTGGACCCCACTGTCTGAGACACTGGGGAAAAACTAAATCATATATATATATATATGTGTGCATGTTTATGTGGTTTATGAGGACACAAATTTGTATAATAACATGGGTATGACATAGATATTACAACAAGAAGGTGATTTATGAGGACATTTTCACTGTCCCCGTAATTCAAAAGGCTTATAAATAATTCAGAATGAGTTTTTTTGAAAATCTAAAAATGCAGAAAGTTTCCTGTGAGGGGTAGATTTAGGGGTAGGGTTGGTGTAGGGCAATAGAAAATACGGTTTGTACAGTATAAAAACCATTACGCCTATGGAGAGTCCCCATAAACCATAAAAACAAACCTGTGTGTGTGTGTGTGTGTGTGTGTATTTTTACATTATATAATTGATTTATTCATTTATAGCATTATTTATTTTTATAATATAAAATTATATATATATATATAACATTATATAGTATTTTTTGGTATAATTTAAATACACTTTTAGAAATATAATACATTTTATAATAAATATTACATTTTATAAATATAATAACTACACTTTTAATAAATTATTATTATTATTATTCATTTATTTTTCCACATCTAGACTCTCATTGATGTAGGTAGGAACATCAACCAAACGAACATTGCGGACTTGATTGCTGGATTACTAACAATCTTCATTGTTATGGCTGTGAAAGAGATCAACACAAAATTTCAGCATAAAATCCCAGTGCCGATTCCCATAGAAGTGATTGTGGTATGTACAGTTTCCCCACAATTCTCCCATACAGTCTTAAAAAAAACAACAACTTGTAAGCCTGTAGGCCTCTGACACTAACATGATTTTTTTTTTAAATAATGACTGTTGTTACCTTTCAATCTTTTGAACTGACAGACAGTGATAGCTTCAGCAATCTCTCATGTGATGGACCTAAATTCCCTGTACGGCGCCAGCATTGTCCACAGCCTCCCCAGGGGGTAAGAGCACTTCCTGTGGCATTTCCTGCTTCCTGATGAGGGCTGGGTGCACATTCAGTCACTTTATATTGACATTATTATTATTATTGTCCTTGTAATGATTTTCAACAGAAATGTTATCACTAGAACAATGACATTGACAGACAGTTTGTAAGCCTTATCCAATAATAACATAAATCAGTATTATGGTAAAAACGATAGCAGCCAGCACAGAACCTGCATGCATCAGAGACGACAGCATAAAACACTCATAGTACAAGTACAAAACTGGTATGTGAATCTGTAGTAACTATATGTCTGCTTGTGTTTCCACAGGTTTGCACCACCACAAACACCAAATATAGCACTTATCGGGAACATTTTGGGCTCTAGTTTTTCTACAGCAGTGGTTGGTTATGCAGTAGCAGTCTCAGTGGCAAAAGTCTATGCAGCAAAACATGATTACACAGTCGATGGCAACCAGGTATACAACAATTCGGTGTGAATATGTGTCTGACACTCAAAATATGCTTTAGTCCAATGGCTAAATTAGCATGGGAAAATAAATAACACCTAAATGGTTTGTGCTGAACACAATGCATTTTGTGCTTTGCCGGTGGCAAAAACAGCTGAAAACTACAACTTTAGTTGGTTTCTTGCAAGAAATGTGGGTGCTATTAACAAGTACTGGGGGAAGAAAAAGAGCAAGGGTGTTTATTTTAGTGTGAAGTATTTTTTAAGTATAATAAGGGTCAGATCAGCACTTTCACACTGATTGAAAAATTACAATAATGTGAGGGAGAGCCAGGAAGAACTAGCTGGCCTTTTAAGGTCACCTTCACCTGCCAGAACATAACAAATTTGCGTTCGCAACGGCAGCTGTTATTTTTTTCTAAACTAGGCAGTGCAGCATAGATCGTTAGGGCACAGCTACAGTTTTGTTTTGTCCTTAAAGATTCTGCTTAGGGTTTTGTTCAAAATGTATTTGCATTCTGATTTGAGACTGGTCTTAGTTGGCCTTTCAAGGCCTTTTTTTTTACCTGCCAGCACAGAACGAATCTGAGTTTGCAACAGCGACTGTTATTTCTAAACCAGACACTGCATAGCTTTAGGGCACAGCTACATTTGTTTCATTTTGTGATTCGCGCTTTGCTTCATTTTTTGCTTTGTTTTGTTTCTTGTTTGTGTTGCTTTGTTTTCTTCGCACTTTAAACAAAACATAATGTATTTGCATACTGATTTATGATTGGTTTTTAAGGTCACGTTCACCTTCCAAAGCCAAATGAATGTAAGTTTACATCAGCAGCTGATATCATTAAATATATGCATTATATAAACCATGCTGTTTTAGGGTACAGCTACATTTGTTTTGTTTCGTAAGCACTGTAAACAAAACAAATATTTAAAGATTCAGGTTGGGGGTTTGATCAACATTTATTTGCACACTGATTTGTGATTGGTCTTTAAATCTTGGATTACTTTTTTGTTCAGTGGATACAAAAAAGTGTGATGACTACATTGCTGGTGTTTAATTGATACTTTTAAGGTCACTTTCACTTTTTTTGAGTTTGAGTTTGCAACAGCAGCTGATATCATTTCTAAACTCGGCAGTGCTGCGTAGAGCATTAGGGCACAGCTACATATCTTTTGTTTTGTTAACATTGTAATTTATTTGCAGAGTGATTTGTTATTGGTCTTCAAATCTTTTTTGTTGTTGTCGTCGTTTAGTAGATACCAAAAAGTGTAATGACTGCATTGCTGGCGTTTAATTGATACAGATTCATTATAAACTGCCTGATCTGGTTTACTACCCTATTATTCCTATTAGGAGCTAATAGCTTTTGGCGTCAGCAACATTTTCGGAGGATGTTTCTCAAGCTTTGTGGCCAGCACTGCATTGTCACGAACAGCAGTGCAGGAAAGCACAGGGGGGAAGAGTCAGGTAAAATGCACATGCTCTTACTCCAGCAATTTCACGTGTGTATGTGTGCAAACACAGTACTCACTGTTCTCTCCTCTCACTGTTGCAGGTTGCTGGTATCATCTCAGCTCTGATGGTGATGATAGTGATTTTGGTCCTTGGGCCGTTTCTTCAGCCTTTGCAGAAGGTGTGATGTGCCTAATGTTTTAATAGAGAAAAAGAATGTCTTTCACTCCCAAAATTTCAAATACTTGCAATATTCTTCATGCAACTCATGATGTCACCCCTCTCTGCCCCACAGTCAGTGCTGGCTGGCATTGTAATAGCCAACCTGAAGGGCATGTTCACGCAGATCTCTGAAGTGCCTGTACTCTGGAGACAGAACAGAACAGACTGTGTAAGTAACATCACAAGACTGATAAATGAACAGAATGAGATGAGTACTGTCAGAAAAATAGTCAACAAAATGAGACTATTTTGAACATCAGATATGAAAGACTGTACAAGCATAACAAGTTTCTTGAGGTCATTATAACATCAATTCGTTTTCTGATTACATTGAGCAAATGTAAAAAATTTTATTTGTATAAATACTAGATGGAATGAGTGCATATGAATCCTTATACTTCTGCAGCTCATCTGGATAGCTACGTGCCTGGCATCCATTGTGCTGGGCTTAGATGTGGGTCTGCTGGCTGGTCTGGTATTTGAGATGGGCACAGTGGTGGTCAGAACACAGTTGTAAGTAGCACATTTGTAAGGATATCAAAGCATGCTTGAGTGTAAAGTACGCAAAACTGTTTACAATTTTTATTTGACACAAAGCAAATTCATTCTTTTTTTTTAATTTAAATTTGTTTTTAGCAAGGTTTTGGCATATTTGTTGAGAAATGTGACAACTGCTTGTTAATCTGAATTAGTGCAGCTTGGTGTTTATGATATAACTCAAAATATGAGTGTTAATATTGTCAATAATAAGGGCATCATATTAATGTTATCATATAAATGTTTGTTTTGTAATATTTAATAGAGTATAAAAGAAAAGTTCCTGTTAAAAACTAATTATACATAATGTAAAAGACATGTATTTAAAGATTAAACATCATAATTCACATTATAATGGTTTCTCTTATTTCATTCAGCCCTTCTTGTGCCACCCTTGGAAATGTCTCAAATACTGATATCTACAAAAACATGAAGGACTACAAAAATGTAAGATTTAAATTTTTTATGCTGTCAATAATCAGTAACAGAAATAGTAATTTTAGTAAAGTTACTAATTTACTTTACAATTTAATAGTAAAGATTGTAGTGTGTCTGTGTGCTTCATTGTTTCATCAGGCTTGCTGACCCTGATTTGTTCTTAGATTGGATATCACTATAGTCAGAAACTAAAAAAAAAATGACCCAAAGTTGGGTTGAAACAACCCAGCCTTTTTTAGAGTGTAGTAAAGAAATTTATATAAAATATGTATCATATTTATATTATAAAGTAAATATTATTAGAAACAGTACTATAAACATGCCCGTCTGCTGTTACTGTGTCTAATGTATGAATTTATTTTACTGTATTATACCATTCAATTTTTTTACAGTGATTTTCAAGACACTGAAGACCAGTGTCATAGACCCAGAAGACCATATTGATTCCCATTATAACTGTTTTACTATATTTTTGATCAAATAAATGCAGACTTGGTGAGCATTAGAGACTTCTTTCAAAAACATTAGAAAAATCTTACCCCAAACTTTTGTACAGTAGTGTACATGAAATCGCATTTATATGAGTTATCTTTCCTGTTTAATCGCCTATACAGTCTTTGTGGGCAACAAGCATATTAATGTAGATCACCACGCTAGAATATAAGATATCAAGCACATATTTTCCTGCTATCATTTTACTGATAAAGAGTGGTTGTGCCTGAGCACATCCATGCAGTTATCTGAAGTAGTATTTACAACGTTGTCTCCCAGTGTAACAGACACATCTCTAACCTCTTATATCAAAGAGCTCCCGGTCCTGATGCGAGCTACTGAAGCTGAAGAAAACAGAAACATCAACTCATTTGATGATAAAAGCTGCCGGTTCAGATGCAAGCAAAAGTCTGGAGCTTCTCATTCACAAATTTGATTAAAGGACATGATGACCAAATATTTACTTCTGGAGACATCAGAAAATAATGCAAACCGCAAAACACAACTAATACATAAGAAACAGGGTCAAACATGTATAACTGTATTATGTAAATTATATAATGTTAATATACCAACTATTTTGAGCAAATTAAATTGGTTAATTAATGTAAAACGTACTGATAATCATACAGGTGGTACTTTATGTTTGACTTGTGAAAACAATAGTATGCTTTTACTTATAAAAACAATAATATTAAAACAATTTCATTATTTTATTAACAATAAGAGTAAAAGCATACATAATTCGTTATAAAACACAATTTAGAAGTAAATTATAAAATAATTTATACTTAAACATTTTCACCAATTTTTTGAATTAAATGCATTGTCTTTTAAATTGGATTCAGGTGACTAACTGTTAACTATTTCGTTTATTGACTGATGCATTTACACACACTTTGTATTGAATTACTAATATTTTTTACAGTGTACGCTCACACACAAACACACCCCGCATCAGAAATGTCTGAATACCAAAAATAGCCTTGTGAGAAATACGTAGGAATCCAATCATACACAGTTAAGGATTTGTAAGTAATTTGGTCAAATGAAAAGAAGTTCTAAAAGAATGACAATCATCCTTGTGTCTTCCAGAGAATCACATGAGAATGAACTTCAAACGGTCTCCATTTCTAAGGGTCTCTCACAATTACAATGAATTGTGTGTTGTCATTGAAAAAAAAAAAAAAAGCTGCATAGTTTTGCATAATTCTGGCATAATTTCCTAATATGACATAAGAAGTTCAGGTTAGGTAACAGGAAGTATGGTTGTACAAATTGTGCTTATCAGGTGTACAGTACGTCACATCTGCTAAATAACTGCTCACCAAAAATATATATATATTTTTTTCCCCCCCGCCAAAGCTACCTAACAACCATACTCAATACACAATACAGTACGTTCCTTATTGCTTTTGTAAAAGTTAATGACACAAATATTTATTAAAACATGAATTCATAAAGCATCAGGATATGACATGTAAACAACAACAGAATGTCATTCTGTGGATGCAGCACACAGTAACTAGGTGAAGAGGTGTTTTACGTCAAAACTGATAATACACATCAATTACTTTAGAACAACTGAAATGCTGTTTTGACCAATCGTAATCCTGAATGGGAACTAATATCAATAAAAAAAGTTCTAATATCCAACATTTTTATTTTTAATTGAACCTTTTCTCTCTCTTTTTTGACACAATGGAAAAGGAACTAAATCCAAACTAATATGTTTCCCACATTATATCTGAAATATCAAAAGATTTCGTCTTATGAGGTATGAGAGGATTAAAGCAAGCAATCGATAGGTGGTTGGCTTTTTCCAAGTTTTTATCAGAAAGAACAATGGTCATGGATCAGGCGGAGATGTGGCTGGAAATGTAAAGAAGGCATCTTGATAACTGTTAATAATTACAGACAAGATAAGTTTAGCAATTTATAAATTCACATGGTCTTAAAGATCTCTGATAGACCACTGCAACTTTTGAAGAAAAACAGGGACAGCAAATTGGAAATATCTGATACCTCACTGAACAGGTAGGATTATCATATTGCAAACAAACACTGTCGTTCAAAAGTTTGGGGTTGGTAAGGTTTTTGAGTGTTTTTGAAATAAGTGTATTAGGCTCAACAAGGCTACTTATTTTATCAAAAATACAGTAAAAAAAAAATACAGTTAAAAGAACAGTTTTCTTTTTTTTTTTTAAATAAATTTTAAAATGTAATTTATTCCTGTGATGAGCTGAATTTTCAGCAGCCATTATTCCAGTCTTCAGTGTCACATGATCCTTTAGAAATCATTATTTGATGCTCAAAAAAACAATTCTTATTATTATCAGTGTTGAAAACAGTTGTGCAGTTTAATATGTTTGTAGAAACTAACCATGATACTTTTGTTTTCAGGATTTATTAATGAATAGAATGTTCAAAAGAGCAACATTTATTTGAAAAAAATAATACTTTTGTGACCATGTACCATACTTTTGTTGACTTTTGATCAATTCAATGTATCCTTGCTGAATTAAAATATTAATTTCTTAAAAAAAAAAAAGAATTGTAGTATATATGCGAATTTAAGTCCATTCCATAGATAAAAATCATAAATCTGATTTAAAAGGGCAAAAACTATATACAGATGCAAACAAAAAGATTTAAAAAAAAAAAGATAAAGCTAAATGCTCAATTTTTATCAAAGTTTAAAAGTTAATGAGCAGTACTATTAAACCTTCAAAGGATGCTGGTATTACAGATTAAAAACAATAAGACTGAATGTTATTTAGAGCTGCTGACCACCAACTATAGATCATGACAACATAACTGCTGACAAAAAGCCTAATTAGGGAGAATAGGTTCATATACAAGGAGACAAGCATTTTAAACTGTGGAAAATTCCATGGAAACATCAACTGTGTCTTAGAGATTTCAGGCTAAATGTGCAGGTTGACACACACTCATACACTCATCATGACAGACATGTGAACTCACACTGTGTAGTTGCATGATGTTTACTCACAGTGCGTTAAAGTAAACACCTCCATCTTACACAACATTTCTATGATTATCAATATAAATACAGATGCAACACATCCACTTTGACAGTCGCCAGAGCTGTAGCAGATATTGAGGAATTGCATTTGTTTGGTTGCCTCACACAGATCAGAAGGATTTTTGCCCGGCGCACAATGCTCCGACCCTCAACACAGAGGTATTCAGTGACCAGACCGCTCTACTCAGAAGACGCCTTTGAGGATGAACATGCAAAAGTCTATCGGAAACACAAGAGGTTCCTGCACCATGTTAAACAGTACTTCACGTAAGCCGAACTTTTAACATTTATTAAGCAGTGCAGAGAAATTTGTTATAATTAGAGGCAAGAAATTATTTGAGCTATTTATAGATTTTTTAAAAAATCTAATAATATTAATAAATGTTATTTTTATTATTACTACTATATAATATATATGTGACCCTGGCGCACAAAACCAGTCTTAAGTCGCTGGGGTATATTTGTAGCAATAGCCAAAAATACATTGTAGGGGTCAAAACGATTGATTTTTCTTTTATGCCAAAAATCATTAGGGTATTAAGTAAAGATCATGTTCCATTAAGATATTTTGTAAATGTCCTACCGTAAATATATTAAAACTTAATTTTTGATTAGTAATATGCATTGCTAAGAACTTAATTTGGACAACTTTAAAGGCGATTTTCTCAATATTTAGATTTTTTTGCACCCTCAGATTCCAGATTTCCAAATATTGTCCTATCCTAGCAAACCATACATCAATGGAAAGCTTATTTATTCAGCTTTCAGATGATACATAAATCTCAGTTTCGAAAAATTGACCCTTATGACTGGTTTTGTGGTCCAGGGTCACATATTTTATTTTTATATATAATTTAAATATAATAAAAATACACTACGACAAAAGCAGATATAGTTCTTTTTTTTATTGAGCAACAGCACTTTATTTGCTGAGAGATGTCTCTAAATAGTTTTTTGTTTTTTTAAACTGAATGTATTATTTTATTATTTATTTGCTAGTTGTACTTCCGAACGTGCAAAGAACACTGCTATTTCTCTGCTGCCTATCATTGGATGGATGAAAACCTACTCAATCAAAGACTGGCTGCTGAATGACATCTTGTCTGGCGTCAGCACTGGATTGGTTGCCGTGCTACAAGGTAAAATCTTATGAAGCTCTTATTGAAAGTTACTCAACAGGAACATTCATGATATAAGCTCAACTCTTGCAATCGATTCATGATATTAGATGAAATATAATATAGTAACAGCTGTTACACAGCAACAAAAACAAATCCATATGCGTTAGAGCACAAAGTTAACTGACGAGAACTGTAGGTGGCATAAAAAATAAACACATTTTCATCTGTCCAGGTTTGAGTCCCCAATCGCTCCCAGTCTGCAGGTTTTCCAGATGACAGCAGTGGAGGCTTTCCCAATAGCTATTGTGGGATTTGCCATGGCTTTTGCAGTGGCTAAAGTCTATTCTGTAAAGCATGACTACATTATAGATGGAAATCAAGTAAGCCCTGAATACTATTCCATTTATAATGCAACAGAGAACAGTCTGTGGAAGCACATCTGCAATGACACATATGATCCCGCAGGAACTCATTGCCTTTGGGGCAAGCAACATCTTTGGAGGAGCGTTTAAGTCTCTGGCACCCAGCACGGCTCTCTCCAGAAGTGCAGTTCAAGAAAGCACTGGAGGAAAAACACAGGTAAACAGCTCGGTTTGTGAGCTTTTCTTATTGGCTGGAACACAAAAATAGGATTTTGCATCTGTGGTGTCCCAATTAGGGAATTTGTTTTCCAGCCACAGAGAAATACTGTCCTCTAGTGTTCCAGAAAGAGTTGTAAATAACACAATATAATACAATAGTCATGTTGTAAATAATACAATTAACACAATGGTGCCATAAATATAACATCATATTCCTGCTCATATTTATGTCAAAATACTTATGCCTAATATTTTTGCAGAAACTATGATACAATAAAAAGTTCAAAAGAACAGCATTTATTTGGAACAGAAATGTTCAAATTAATGCATCCTTATTAAATAAAAATGTTAATTTATGAATTTTTTTTTTAATGTACTTTTCAGGTAGCTGGTTTACTCTCTGCCATTATCGTGCTGGTGGTAATCTCGGGGATAGGGTTTTTGTTGGAACCTCTACCAAAGGTAGGCTTTAAATTCAAAGTGTAAATGATTGGCTTTAATAACAGAAAAAAGAATTTGTGAAAAGCTGTGTGGTGTTGTGTGCCTGCAGTCAGTGCTGGGCGCAGTGGTGATTGTGAACCTGAAGGGGATGTTGATGCAGGTGGTTACAGTCCCTTACCTGTGGAAGAAAGACCGTCCTGACTGCGTAAGAGTCTTTGACTTGTCTCTCTAAATGCAAAGAAGGGATTAAAAAAAGAAAAAAAAGAAAGTATAATCCAAGTAGACAAACTTCAAATTTCAGCTTCTTAAAAATGAGAATTACATTTTTAAATCGGAAGTATTTTATCTGAGATAGATAACATCTCACATAATTTACCTTAGAATTTAACTGTCCAATGGTATATCACTGATTTCTGTACTCTGTGTAACGTCCCACTCTTGTCATTTTCCTCCAGATTGTATGGGTGGGGACCTGTTTGGCAGCTATATTCTTGGGGCTGGACTTAGGACTTGCTGTTGGTCTTGGACTGGAGCTCCTCACTGTGGTCTTCAGGGCTCAGTTGTAAGTGCTGACAGATCCAATTAACTAGATGAAAAATAAAATAAAAATAATTTGAATATGGTGTAGATATTAGCTGCTTCTTTAAAGATATTGTGACCTGGGCAAAGAAATGAGGTTTAATTTTCATCATATTCGTATTTATAATATATCCTGTTTCTTTTTTTGGATAAAAATCAATTGATCTTTTCTGCTCTGCAATCCACGCTGCTGTGTCCTGGCTAATATCTCAGGGACAGATATCTACAGAGATCGCAAGGACTACACAACTGGTGGCTGACTAAATACTTTTTTTCCCCACTGTAAGTGTACTAACAGACGCATCCTCTTTGTTCATATTCTGCAACATAATCATTATGTGTCATTTCTATTAACATTACTTGGTGTGCCAATGCACATGATGGGCCAAGATAGGGACAGTTTAAAACACAGTGAAAAGATGCAGATGGACGAAAGACCTTGCCTTGGTTTAATTTTCTGTCTTTCTGAATCTCCTACAGATCTATGAGCCAGAGGGAGTGAAGATTTTCAGAATCCCATCTCCCATTTTCTTTGCAAATATCGATTTCTTCAGAGACAAACTGAAGGATGCTGTGAGTGCAGTAGTTTCAGTGTGATAGCCCTGACCTCAGACAACTTTAGCAGCTGACATAATAACAATCTAACCTGTTCAATTTGTGGCAGGTGGGCTTTAATCCTCTGAGAATCCTGAGGAAGAGGAACAAAGCAGTGAAGAAAATGAAGAAACTGATAAAGAAAGGGGAGCTGACCTTAACATCTGTACGTCTTAAACATGATAACAATAAACTCAAGGATTATGCAATGTAGCTGTATTGCATCCAGTGCTTTGATACCTACTGTACTTCTTAGATACCTAAATGATATCTTAATCTTATCATTTAGATATACATCAAAAGTTACTTTGATTTCTTTCGGTTATAGAATGGACTACAGGCCACATGCTCAATGCCCATTGAAGAGTCAGAGGATGAAAGCAACATGGAGGATCTAGACAAGCCCACAGACTATTCAGATCTTCCAGTCCAGGTGAACTGGAATGTAGAACTTCCTGCCAACATCCGAGTTCCTCCTGTGAACATCCACAGTTTGATCCTGGACTTCTCTGTGGTCTCATTCCTGGATATATCTGCACTCAAGGGTCTTAAAGCGGTATGGCAGCTGTGTTCATTCTGAAAACAAAGTGTAAATTAAATAACTTTGCTAATCAAAGCATGAAATTCTAGTTTGATTATCTGAAAACATCTCTAATGAATCACAAACACTTGTGTTTACAGGCCATAAAATAATTTATACGCATTAATGTTGAAGTTTACATAGTAGGCAGTGACCGTAAGTACTTTTTTCTTTCAGATTGCAGGTTAAAGGGTATTTGTAGTGTATTTGACAATGTTTTCCCCTTATCTACAAAGCCACGGCTATTACAATATAACTTAACTGTACGTAATAATAAAGCTGTGCAGTAACTCTCACCTTTGACATGTCGTTTCCAGCGTATATCATAGAGAAGCTGAGGAACTGTACATTTTTTGATGATGAAATCAAGACGTCTATCTTCTTTTTGACCATCCATGATGCAATGCTCTGCATTCATGAGTCTCATCCCCCGAAGACCGTGAGTGAGAAGGTGACGAAAACATTTGGAGATTGCACAAGCTTCATTTGTTCATTCAAAGATGAATTTGTTGCATTTATCTAAAATGCATTATTATAAAAGTGCATTGTTAAAATGTGTGTCTGATTTGAACTTACGCAAACAGGTCTCAGGAAGTGTCCAATATCAACACGTTAATAGCAGCAGCACATCCAGTTGGTTGACAATCCAAGCAGTAAGTGACCCAACAAGCACCTGGGATTAAACCTGTCCAAATATTAAATAATAATGAAATAGTAAATATTAAAAGCTATCATTTAAAGCAAGAGGTCATCATAATTTCTATTGAAGAGATGTCTGAAGTTCTCAGTTGGGTTAATCTGCTTTATTTTCTGCAGGATATGAAAACGGAAGTCGAAACAGACACCAAACCAGAGACAAGGTTTTGAAATGAACCAACTTGAAACCTCCACTATACTGAACTTTAAAATCTGTGTATATAAGAATTTACTTGATTTAGCGCATAGCAGTTTTGTATTCTGCGTACTATGCTGCATGCAGAATGAATTAGTTTGAGAATATGCCAATGTGTCATGTTCTAATTTAATGGATTTGTGGTGAACAAACACTCTTATCAGTTCACTATCAGTGCCTTTTGTATATTTACATTTTTCTTTTTGAATAGTATTTTTATGTGTACTATTTTTATTCTAAAATAAAAAAAATAATGTTTTCTAAAATATACTGTGCTTCCTGACTTGAGACGAAACTTATTTTCAAGAACACTCTAATAATAATTAGAGTAATAAGCATTATAAATCTAATTCCTAACTGTAAATGATTAACTATCTGTATGAGAAAGCAAGTTATGGTTGAGGAAGTGAAGAGTGAAAGATAAAGAATTTGTAACTTAAATTGCTATGGAAAAAAATTATAATTTTATAGCTACTAAAGATGACTTTCTCAAATATGAAAATAGTGAAGTCACACGGTAACAGAGCAGAAACTTTTTTTTTTAATTGATTACTATTATTATTATTATTATAGATTTATTTTAGAAGTCAAGACTATTTAAATCTGTCAATTAAGGTCAATCTCATTATTATACCAGTAGTAAGTAATAAAGAGGAAAACAGCACTCTTTCCTGGGAAAGGGCCATAAGGACTTGAATTATATTGCATATTGCATAAAAAAGGAAAAAGAAACATGTAAAGCATAGATTACCTAACAAGATTTAAGAAGGAATATCCTTTCTGATACTGGAACAACATCATACTTCCTGATCAGATTTTAGTTTTAAGTTTATGGTTTAGAGCTTGGTTCAGGCTGAACAACATAATCTCTCTGATTTCAAGTGTTGGTTAGGATTATGTTTATAAAACTATAATTGTGTGATTGGAATGTGGTTCCTGGACAAACACAGGATATTGATCCAGGAACAAGTTCTATTTGGTAAAATTTTCATTCTATTCCACAAAATGGAAGCTGTTTGAATTATATAAGAGAAACGCATGTAAAAATAGATTATTGCACAATATATGTGGTGCACTTGTTGACTTAGTAACTGAGCCAACACTTGAAATTGAAGCATTTAATCAATCTGGATATGAGTAATCACAAATTCTGGCAAAGGAAATACAGTAGCAGGAAATGTACATGGACCTTTGGACTTACAACACAATACATAAATTGGTCATAACATTTCATAAACATTCAATCAAATCACAACAATGGCACGTTTTAATGCCTGCACTAAGTACATAGGCTAATGGAAACATTCACAGCACGAAATGGAAAAAGTATGTGAATAAGCAAATAAGCTGTTAAAATGGCGTGACGAGACTAACCTGCTAACCTAGAGACCAAACAATAAGACGAGATTGAAAGTGTAGGTTAGAGTGTCACTCCACTCTAAAAAAAAAAATCAAAATTTTTGAAACTGTGATGTTCATTAGTCTTAATGGAGAAGTTAATCACTGTGACTTGTATGCAGTAATTCATAACAAATTCACGTAGTTCACATACTTTTTCCTGCAGCTCTATTTTTTGTTTCCTTCTCTAGAACGCATGTAAATAAGGAAGAATGACTCAAAAAATCATGTGATAAAATCCATCAATGATTAAAGCTCGCAAAGACATCCCAGAATATCTGTGATAAGACTAATGACAACCCACTCATCAACAAACCAGACTATATAAAGCACTCAAGATGCATCTGAAAACGAACTAACCAAAATGCAGCCCTTTGGCAGACACTATGTGGTGGTCAGGCCTCTGTTTTCAGAGGATTCCTTCGCAGAGCAGCACGAGAGGATCAACAGGAACCGCAGAACTCTACGGCACCATCTGAAAGACTATTTCACGTAAGAATTCAATAATACATTCATAACAGCAGGTCCTTTAAACTGAAATATGGGAACTTATCAGAAGCACGTTTGAAGTTGTGATGTTACTGAGATCATGCGTGGATCCAACAGGAACCTTTAGCGAATTGTGTTCATCTCGTTTGCACTGTAGTTGTGATACAAATCGTGCAAAGAATGCAGCTCTTTCCCTTCTTTCAATCATTGGATGGATGAAGAACTACAACATCAAAGAATGGCTGCTGGGTGAAATTGTTTCAGGCATCAGCACTGGGCTAGTGGCAGTGCTACAAGGTATCACATTTAACATCCATAGTGTTTGGCTAAAATCATTTTTGGAAGACTTTGTAAATTCTGTAAAACAGAAACACGTCATAAAAATGTGTAATTACACCACCTCATTGGATTATTTTGTATCAGGACTTGCATTCTCTTTGCTGGCCTCTTTACTTCCGGGATATGGACTGTACACTGCATTCTTCCCTGCAATAATCTACTTCTTTTAGGGCACCTCCAGACACCTGTCAGTAGGTGTGTGATATGCATGCATTTACATGGTACACCATAAAAAACTATTTTTTGAAGCGTTAAATAAAACAATGATTAGTGGAGTATGCTGTACATTTCTATTTGAAAATTAAATGTAATGCTGTAGCTTAGGTGAAATTTACTAGCAATTTCTGAGTGAAAACACTTTCTACACCACTCCTTCAATGTACAGGTGCATCTCAATAAATTAGAATGTCGTGGAAAAGTTCATTTATTTCTGTAATTCAACTCAAATTGTGAAACTCGTGTATTAAATAAATTCAATGCACACAGACTGAAGTAGTTTAAGTCTTTGGTTCTGTTAATTGTGATGATTTTGGCTCACATTTAACAAAAGCCCACCAATTCACTATCTCAACAAATTAGAATATGGTGACATGCCAATCAGCTAATCAACTCAAAACACCTGCAAAGGTTTCCTGAGCCTTCAAAATGGTCTCTCAGTTTGGTTCACTGGGCTACACAATCATGGGGAAGACTGCTGATCTGACAGTTGTCCAGAAGACAATCATTGACACCCTTCACAAGGAGGGTAAGCCACAAACATTCATTGCCAAAGAAGCTGGCTGTTCACAGAGTGCTGTATCCAAGCATGTTAACAAAAAGTTGAGTGGAAGGAAAAAGTGTGAAAGAAAAAGATGCACAACCAACCGAGAGAACCACAGCCTTATGAGGATTGTCAAGCAAAATCAATTCAAGAATTTGAGTGAACTTCACAAGAAATGGACTGAGGCTGGGGGCAAGGCATCAAGAGCCACCACACACAAACGTGTCAAGGAATTTGGCTACAGTTGTCATATTCCTCTTGTTAAGCCACTCCTGAACCACAGACAACGTCAGAGGCGTCTTACCTGGGCTAAGGAGAAGAAGAACTGGACTGTTGCCCAGTGGTCCAAAGTCCTCTTTTCAGATGAGAGCAAGTTTTGTATTTCATTTGGAAACCAAGGTCCTAGAGTCTGGAGGAAGGGTGGAGAAGCTCATAGCCCAAGTTGCTTGAAGTCCAGTGTTAAGTTTCCACAGTCTGTGATGATTTGGGGTGCAATGTCATCTGCTGGTGTTGGTCCATTGTGTTTTTTGAAATATGCAAGTTCAAATTCTTCCCTTTTAATGTACTAGCAATGTAGACATTTTATTACAAAGCTCTATATGACTTTTCAGTGAATATATCAAACATTTGTTATTTGATTTCAGACTCTGGTGGACGTTTTTAGTCGAATCACTAACACGTATGTGGCCGACCTGGTGACATCTATTGTGATCATGGCGCTGGTGCTTATTGTGAAGGAGATCAATGACAGATTCAAGTCGAAACTCCCTGTGCCGATACCTATAGAAGTCATCGTGGTTGGTATAATTACTGAGTATGGCTGCATTAATACAAAATATATAACTTCTTTATCGAACTTCACCACTTCATGTAAATCAACCCAACAGACTGTTATCGCTTGTGTAGTCTCTTATGCATTAAACTTCCAAGAGCGATTTGATGTAGTCGTGGTTGGGGAGATGGTAAACTGGTAAGATTCTAACTATACGTCATCTACAATACTGAAAACATAAAAAGTGCTGTAATGCATATTTTAAATGGGAGGAGATATATCTATAATTATTAGAAATTATTATTAATTTAATAATAATAAGTCAATAATATAATATTATAGAGTAATAATAAGATTGAATCTTATTATTGAATAATAATAATAATACATTGTATGATATGATATATTACATCTCCCTTTCTAAGATATGAAACACCCATTGCTTCAAATCTGGAAGTCATTAAGGAGAGTGCCATGGAGGCTATCCCAATGGCCATAGTAGGATTTGCCGTGGCTTTCTCAGTAGCTAAAGTCTACTCTGTCAAACACGACTACACGATTGATGGGAACCAGGTCAGCTGAGGCTCTATTCACTACAAACAATGCAAATGATGTGATGCATATCTCAATTGGTATTTTGAAAATCAAAATGGACAGTTTTATACACTCACCTGCATGTAACAGGAGCTCATTGCCTTCGGGGTGAGCAACATGTTTGGGGCGTCTTTCCGATCATTTGCTGCCAGCACAGCCCTTTCTAGAACCGCCATACAAGAGAGCACAGGAGGGAAGACGCAGGTGAAACTCTCTCGCTATTCTTTGATCTAAAATCATCCATTGACTGCCTATATGAAATCAAAGAATGAATGGTTAATGTTTGTTTTATAACATTTGCAGATGATTGTGATTGTAGCAATAGGATTTCTGCTTGAGCCGTTGCCCAGGGTGAGAATTGTTATGTCTTTACTCTTTATATATGTAGTATGCAAACTCCATTAAGTAATATAGAGCTGAACTGACAGTTAAAACTCTCTATAAAACCCTTTTAGTCATATGTAGGACTCAATCTAATGAGTGTTATGCTTTTTTCAGTCTGTTCTGGGTGCTTTGGTCCTTATTAATCTGAAAGGCATGCTGATGCAGTTCAGAGAGCTGCCGTTCTTATGGAAGAATAACTGGCCTGATTTAGTGAGTTTCTGTTTTCATTACCACCAATT